GTCTGTTGGACACCCTTTGACCATTGGACTCCTTTAGTCTGTTGGACACCCTTTGACCATTGGACTCCTTTAGTCTGTTGGACACCCTTTGACTGTTGGACAATTTGTTMGTTGGACAACCTTTGATTGTTGGACACCATGTGACCATTGGACACCTTTAGTCTGTTTGACACCATTTGACAGTTGGACACCCTTTGACTGTTGGACACCTTTAGTCTGTTGGACACCCTTTAACTGTTTGACACCATTTGACAGTTGGACAATTTGTTGATTGGACACCCTTTGATGGTTGGACACCCTTTGACTGTTTGACACCATTTGACAGTTGGACACCCTTTCACCATTTGGANTTGACACCATTTGACAGTTGGACACCCTTTCACCATTTGGACTCCTTTAGTCTGTTGGACACCCTTTGACTGTTGGACAATTTGTTGATTGGACAACCTTTGATTGTTGGACACCCTTTGACTGAAAATTTGTAGGATGGACACCCTTTGACCATTGGACACCTTTAGTCTGTTGGACACCTTTAGATGCCTCAGTGAGAAGGTCTCAGGTGGAGGTCTTCTCCAGCTGCTCTGTTTTTCTGATGTTTGTTTTGTTGGTAAATAATTTGTTGGTTTCATGATGATAAAGAAAACTGTATAAATGATTAACTAAATGTTAGATGCAGTTTTTTTATTTTATACTTTCTGATCATTGCAGCCTTCAAGTTTAAACAGAATGAGAGTTGGTGTGTGTGTGTGTTATCTTGTGTTCTGTCTTTTAAACAAAAGTTAGTTACATTCGTCTGACGTAAACGTTTCCACCTCCAGGAGTGGAACCAGGAAGAGATTATAAGGTCAATTCATCGTAATATTAGGAAGAAGTTGTTAGTTTTGAAGTCCCTGTAAGGTCCAGAATGGACAGACTGGGCTGTTGTGTTTGGGTTTGGGCCTGTGCTGAGTGCTGAACCTGACTGGAGTCAGAAGATTGAGAATAAAGTTTTGAGAAGAAATCCAGTGGATTCCTGTTTTATTCAGACAAGACACTTTTACAACACATTTTTCTACAATGAGGTCAGAGGAATCTCGTCCGGTCAGAAACTAAATCAGAGGTAAATGATGTCAACTATTTCTAATATTTGATCATTTCCATCATGAAGTCACCTTTTCACCGGAGCAACAAGGATTCGTTTGGAGTTAAAGTTTTCTGATGAGCAGAAAAACAGTCGTCTCTGTGCCTGAGCTGAACCTCTGCATGCTGCCGTGCTGCTATTAATTAAAAACTTCATTTAAAACTTTTGTGTTTCTAACATTGAGCGTTTCTTTGACAGATTCTGAATCTCTCTCGGCCTTCCGCCTCCTTTCTCTTTCCTCTCGTTCTCTCCCCTCAGAGACGGTTTCTTCGTGACGAGGGGAAGAATTGACAGTCAGTTACAGGCAGACAGACTCGCAGCTTTAAGGTCGACGGAATAAAAGACAAAAAAAAGCATCTTTGACTTTGGCGTCTGCTCTTTCACGCCCACGGCTTGTTTACTCTTTTTCCTTTATTTGCCTCGTCTGCGGAGGTTTCTGACGTTCCATTTGTTGATGTACACAACAGCAACGACTCAACAAAAGTGCAGATGTGGGTTCTGAATGAAAATACGTGTCGGCGTCTCGACTCGGCGCTCGACCTTTCAGATCAGCAGAGCGGAGTCTTTGTGACGCGCTGTGAAAAGACTAATACTGCAGAACTTAGAGCAACTTTCTTCACTTAAAAGGTTTGAAACAAAACAGGAAGTTCTGTCAGGGTGGGAGCAGACGCAACCATTTTCACCAAATTCACCCTGAAGGTCAGACCGTGCAGTGCTTTTAACACTCAAGTTGTCCTTCCACTTCACCCACCTTACACAACTGCTGAAAAATATTATTTAACAATATTCCAGCATTAAATACAGTGAATCGTACTAAATAGTAAATAATAAAGTAATAATAGGACTTCTTCTTCTTTCCGAAAAAAGAGAAAACTTTTATTAATATTTGTGTCCACCAGAAATAGGTAATAATTTTAAAGCTTTCTTAGCCTGAAATGAAATATATTTTATTTAAATGAATTATATTTTTGCTCATTAAGGCTTTAGTTTTATTAAACTCCAGTTCTTCAGTTTTGCCAAAAATGACTTTTTGTTAATTTTATGGAAATTAACCACAAAATATGTATTTTTCTCAACAGGAAAACCAGATAAAAAAAATTTTAATCTGGAGTTTTTAGTAAGAAATGCATTATTTTGCATTAAACGCATTTATAATGGGTTTCAATGAATTCATAGAGGAACATTAAATATAATAAAGTGACTGGGAGTTATGGGAGCATTTCAAATGATTCTCAGGTTGATGTATAAAGTACTTCTAGTTTTTGTATTTTGGTACTTGTACTCCTTTATTGACACTTCTGTTTATTTATAATTTTATGTTCAAATTTATTGTTTTTGTCTTTTGTGTTTCTACCTGTAACTGCTGATTTATCTGAATAACTCCACTGAGGGACAATAAATTCTATTCTGTTCTGTTGTTTATTAAGTTCTGTTCTATTATATTCTGTTCTTTTCTTTTCTATTCTGTTCTATTTTATTCTATAATGTTCTATTCTAAGTTCAAACATTTTAGAATCAATTTTCAGGGAACTGTGATGTGATGACAAAACGTTGGAAACGATGGTGAAACAAAAACAAAAGTAAATGTATGCCTGACTTTATTTTTTTTTACCCCTTTGGGTATGTACATGTTTATAAATAAATAAATAAATAAATAAATAAATAAATAAATAAATAAATAAATAAAGGCCTATTAATCGTTGCATGATTATCACTCATCACAAATAATTCAATCTGCTCATGTTGAAAAAGGACAAAAACACGGTCAAATCTTAAAAAAGTTCTGCAGCCTGTCAGAACTCAGAGACGTGTTGGGAACGACTCTCAGCTACTACCACTTCAGCTTTCAGTTCAGTCTCCGTAAAACTGATTGGTTTAAAGTGCATTAACCGTGGAGCACGTCTTTTATCGGGCTGAGTGTAAAAATAATCAGTTTTTATTCTCTAAGAGACTGAAGCTCCTATTACTCTACAGCAGGTGTCAAACTCAAGGCCCAAGGGCCAAATCTGGACCTCGTTAATATTTTATTGGGCCCAAAAGGAAATTTAAATGTGAAATAGTTTTATGGTTTCTCTTTTTCTTCTCATGACAGCTGGCCATTTAAAGTCAGGGAAATGAAGGTTGAATTTTTCAGTGATCTTAGATTTATTTTATTTATTTATTTTTTTGTGGAAAGAAGTTAAAATATCGTTTCCTGTATTATTTTCTCATTATGACGTCAAATAGTTGGATTTTTATTGAGGGTTTTCTTCTCTTTTTTTTAACCTAATTTGCTGGATTGTGATCAAATGTATTAAAGAAATAAATGAACAAACTGACAGGGAGTAAAATGAGTCTAAATTAAATTTTTTCGTTATTCGTTTGGTTATGTCTGTTCTAAACGTGACATTAAACATAATTTAGAATATAATAATTTCATCTGTGACATTTTTAAATGAACATTAACAGAAACTGGCTCTGGGTTTGGCCCATTGCAGTGACATCACTAGGCCTATTTTAGGGGGGCTGGAGCCCCCTAAACTATTTTGGTGTAAGGAAATAAAAAAATTTTTTTTAACAAAAATTCAATATGATGTGGTCAGAATAAACAAACATTTAATATGTCATATATTTGGTGGCACAACGGCTCAGTGGTTAGCACCGACGCCTCACAGCAAGAAGGTCCTGGGTTCGATCCCCGGTTCGGACCTGGGGTCTTTCTGTGCGGAGTTTGTATGTTCTCCTCGTGCTTGCGTGGGTTTTCTCCGGGTACTCCGTTTCCCCCACAACACAAAAACATGTACAATAGGTTGCCTTCAGGCCCAGGCCGCCCTTGAAAAAGAGATCTGAGATCTCAATGGGATTTGCCTGGTAAAATAACGGTAAATAAAAAAAATATATATATATATATATGTATAGCACTTTTGTGTATTGTGTATTGTGTGTGTGTGTGTGTGTGTGTGTGTGTGTGTGTGTGTGTTTTATTCATATATAATATATATGAATAAAACACACACACACAATACAAATATATAATATACAAAAATGCTGTGCGTCTCCTGGGGGCTAAGCCCCCCTTGTCCTTAAAACCTAGTGACACCCCTGCCCCATTGTGTGACTGATTTTGACCCTCTGCTCTACAGCTCAAGTTTATTAAAGTTAGTTAAAGTTTTATAAGTTCTGCTCATCATCATCATCATCGTCGTCATCATCATCGTCATCATCATCATCATCATCATCATCATGGGTTCTGTGTCCGCAGGTCGTGGGACGCCTTCCATGACTGCGCCAACGTGGCGATGGCCGGCTGTCCGGAGGAGGCGGCGGCCGTCTGGGAGTCCCTCCGGCAGGAGTCCAAGAAGATGCAGTTCTCTGGAAACCTCTACGACATGTGCTCCAACCGCAACCTCCACCCTGCAGGCTCCATCTCCCCCCGCGGCCCCCTGAACCAGGAGGACATCAACCAGGAGTCCCTCAGAGGAGGCGCAGATCGTCCGGCAGTCCTCCTCCTCCTGCTGCTGCCTCCTCTGCTGCTGCTGTGGATTTACCGGCCCTGAAGGAACCAGACTCCTGTAGATAAATATAAACTTTGTGTATTTTTTCTTTTCCTTCACGAGTCCATGGACGCTCCACAGCTCCTTCCTCTGCTCCGCTGGAGGGAGGGGGTTTCTAACTGCATGCCGACGGCCCTTTTGATAACACGTGACTGAACTTCTTCATGCATATTCTCATTAGTTTGAGTGTGGCTGCAGACGGTTTAACAGTCCTTCAGTCCTCCTGACTGCCTGCATGTGACGGTTCCAGGAGGAGCTCGAACTGCGAGACGAAACGCCACCAGGACAGGTTTCATAAAACCTCTCTGTTTTCAGCCTGCAGGTGGATCAATTTACTCTTTAATTCTGCCCAAATGTAAACTTTATTCTCTAAAGCAGCTGGTCCTGAACCCATTCCTGCAGCTTTTAGTTGTTTCTCTGCTCTGCAACAAATGGAAGAGGTTTAGGGCCACGATCAAAATAATAATTAATAATAATAATTCTGACTTTAATCGCAGAATTATGAGGAAAAAAACTGAGAAAAATGTCAAAATTCTGAGAAAAAGTTAGAATTCTACATTTTTCCTAATTCTGAGGAAAACGTCCAAGAAAATCTTTGACCTTTTTTCCTCAGAATTTTGAGTTTAAAGTGCCCGTGACATCAAACTTTTGCAATAAAAATGAATGTATTTTTGCAAAGATAACACTGATAACATATTGTAAAAAAGATTTCATGCCGCTGAGATGTTGAGATATTCGCCTGTGAAACAACAGGAAGTGATGTCAAAGGGGAATGTCTGCATGTAAACAGAGCGTTGCTAAAATGGCTAACAGCACAGACTGTAGAGAAGAATCGGATGTTTCTTTGGATTATTTTAATCTCTATCATAGAGAGATGAGAAAGAGTCAAAGTTCAAACAATGTTGTGTAAATAAACAAAAAACAGGGAGTCTTCTTTCTCAAAGAGTTCCCCTCTGATGTCACTTCCTGTTTCACTTTAGCTGAGCAAAATTCAAAAGAAAATAAGCCAATCATGTGACATAATAGGTAAAATCGTGTGTTTTATACCAAGTTTCCTAAATATAAATATGTTTTCTTTGACTTTTTGTATCTTGTGTATGTGCATGTCACAGGCACTTTAAAGTCAGAATCATTTTTTTTCTCGTGGCACTAATCGTCCTCCGTAGCATCAGGTCTTCAGTGAAAAGGGGTTCTCTGCAGACAAGTAGGCGTTTCCAAAGGAACAGACACACCTGATTGGACGAGCACAAAGGGGGCGTTACGAAGCACACCACCTGATTGGATGATCTTTGTTTCAGCGTTTCTTTATATTATTAGCTTACTTTGGAAAGAGACCCTTTAGAGGTCCATATTAGAATTATTTAATTTTGACCCTAAAATTAACCCCCTTCCCACCCTAAAATTAACCCTATGCCTCAGTTTTGGCTGCTAAAATTAATGTGAAAGTAGTTAAAGTCAAGAGTGGAAGAAAAACGAAGGAGAAAAACCAACTTTTTAAAAAAAAACGCAAATACAACGAGCCAATCAGTGTGTAAGTTTCTAAATAACAGTTTCCATGAACCTTAGCTTGACGCTCCAAAAAATCCCGCTCCATCCGTTTCCAGTCGAAAAAACTCCACCGGACCACCGTGTTCAAACTTCAAACTGTTTATCTCAAAAATGAAAAAATGACAAAGATACATCTACAAGATCCAAACGTAAACTAAAACATAACTTTAAATAAAAGGAACAGAAAGAGAAAGAGAGGTAAAAAATACTGTCTGTCTCCATGCCGGGCCAAAGCCGAATGTCGTGCCCCTCCCTCTCCTTTTCTTAGCCAAAATACCTCCCCCCTTGCTGTGTCGAAGCACATTAAATTTACTTATTGAAGTCATACAAATATTCATGTAAATAACATAAATGCCGTCTTATCAACCATTCAAAAATGATTATTGAAAACACACAAAAATAAACATTTAGTTAGGTCAGTATTTCTTATTTTAACCTTTCATAAACAAATGGTACGACATTTAGGCTCCGACACAGTGTTTGTTCAGAAACGACTCTACAGAGACCCCTACTTGTCTTCAGCTCCTTCAGCAGCTTAATTATTCCCACAGATCAGGTGAGTCTGACACACCTGTGTTCCTCCAGGACCCACTGCTCTAAAGAAAAGGTAACATGAGCTCATTTTTCCCTCAAACTCTTAAAAAAACACTGTTTTTAAAAGAAAAACAGCAGGAAAACGCACAATAAAATCACACGACAGAGCAGAAAAAAGTTTTTATTTTTGTGTATTTTACTTCAGTTTGGATCACATGTCAGAGCTGCAGACCTGGTTTTATTTCATCCGTTGTATTTTCTGTGATTTGTAGCTGAAATGTTTGTAGCTGTTTGAGTTTGAACCGTTCAGGAAAGAGGCCAGGCAGCTGAGTTTGTGGCAAAAAACTTTTTTTTTCTTTGTTTTGTTCAAATCTTGTCTGGTGAAGATGAGTTTGATGAGTTTGTCTCCTGAAAGTGGGCTGAGATTTTCTCGTTTGTCCGTTTGAATCTTGTTCAGTCCTCGGCTTCTGAACTTCGGCTTCTGAACTTCGGCTTCTTAACTTCGGCTTTTTCCTCCAAATATTTGAGTGAAACCGGTCGAGGATGTAAATAATCCAGCGTATTCGGTCGTCACTTTACATTCAGTCTGATCGGCAGTTTGAGCTCGTCTAGAAACATTCGTGGGTTTTCTTCTGACTCTTTGGTTCTGGTTCTGGTTTTTATTTGTGCTTTAATGGTTTTAAGATTCCTCACCTGGACTTTATTGTAAAATTAAATCAGGACTCGGTGAAACTAGCATTTTGTGTTTCATCTCCACAGAGCCGAAAGCGAGCAGGCGGCGCAGCAACATGAGCCGAATACGAGCCGAAGTCGGACGACTTTATTTTAACGTCCGTTGAGGTTTAAAGTCCTCCGGGCCCCCCTCTCGGTCCAGGACCAAAGTTCTCTGGTCTGAGTCGGTTCTGCGTCTGGAGCTGCTTGTTGTTCCAGCTGCTGCAGCTGTTTCAGTCGGATCAGAACAATGAGAACAGATTAAAGAACAGAGACGAGTTCTGCCTGTTTGAAGCCTGGATCCACTCATCTAGCAGTTTGCACACGGGGGCTTCAGGTTGCAGATTTATTCTCCTTTCTTGACAAATAATCAAAGAAATCATGACTTTAAAGAGTTTTACTCAGAAAAAAAACCCTCTGATGCTTTCAGCAGCACTTTAGAAGAGGAAATAAATAAATTTCTTGTTTGACAAAGAAACCCAAGGAGCTCCTGGAGACTTCTACCTTGCCGGTGGCAAGTTCGTTAAACAAACCCAGAGAGTTTCAGCTGATAGAAAAATCCAGAAACTCCAGAAGAACTCACACTGCTGAAAAAAACGGCTGAAACCGAGTTATAAAAGCTAATACCATTAAAATTAGCTAAACAGTAGCTAAAAGCTTGAACCTGAAAAAAGCTAAACTCCAACAAATCAAAGCAACTAAAAGAAGATTGTAAAATAAAATACAAACCCAAAATTAGTAAAAATGTACTTAAAACAAATAGTGATTCTAATTTATTGACTAATTTAACCCAATGACTCAAAATAACCCAACAGTTCTTAGTGCAGGTCAAAACAGCAGCTAAAAGGCCTAAACCAGCAAAACTGTAGCTACAAACAGTACGCACTAAAAACTGTCGGGTTTAAAACAGCTCAGTTTGTACCTCAGTTCTGGGTCAAACTTAGACCAAGTCTAGATCTTCAGTTTGACCCAAAAATGTAGTTTAGATTAGCAAATCTGTTGACTTAGAGCTGCTAAAACACATGAAACTGCGCAATGTTAATAACTCAGCTAGCTAAGTGGTTTATTAGCGACCTGGCGCTAACTGCTATTAGCATCAGCTAGCTTGGACCAGCTAATAATAATAACAATAATAATGTTTATTTAGCAACCCAAACGGAGTCTGTGGTGCGAACTAAAGTTACTAAATTCAACCAAGTTTTTATCAGACCGGTACAGACCGGTCCAATTTGGCCAAGTTCTGGGTTAAAAGTACGGTCTTGGCGGTCACTAAGTGGGAGGTTTTGGGTGTTTGGGAAAACCGTGTTTGGTTGGATTGACTAGTTGGGGGAAATAAAAACAATAATAGTAAAATTACTGTGAACATGTAAATAAATTTATTGACTTCAGACGTCGCTGGCAACTTCCTGTCTCGAGTTAGAACTAATAAGAATATTCAAATGTATTGTTTTTAGGTGCTTTCTGGTCGTTTCGACCAAACCAAACAGCCATGGCTTCTTTAAACCCCGCCCAAAATAGTCCAACCAATCACACCTAAGCTCCTCCCACATCCAGGAACCTCCCACTTAGTGACTGTAGAGACCCTCTGATTTATCTTCGACAGTCAAAACAACCCAACAGTTATCAAATAACCCAGATGTTTGATTCCTGTATGCCTGGCTAAAAGCTAAAACTAGCAGAACATCAGCTAAATACTAAAACTAGCAGAACAGCAGCTAAATGCTAAAACTAAAAGAATAGCAGCCAAAACTAGCAAAAAAGCAGCTAAAAGCTAAAAATAGCAGAACAGCAGCTAAAACTAGCAGAACATCAGCTAAA